CCCCTTAATGTCGTTTTTTTTAGGTGGGTTTGTTTTGTGCCTATAGGACTGCGTTCAGAAACACCACCCGACTGCCCCGGTGTATCATTCTATCCTTGTTTAACCATACGGTGAGCAACAAGGATAGAACGATACCTGGTCTACTCGGGTGGTGTTTCTGAACGCAGCCTACGCCAGCCAATCGTCACCGATCGTCTTTCTCCGCGCGAGTGACGCATCTACAACCGATTTGCTTCGCGGCTGAGCAACGGCGGTGGGGTGGGGGTTCAACGTTTTTCCAACGGAAGAGGGAGACGGACGGGAGACGTTGCGAAGTCACGACGTAGAAGGCGTTGGAAATGGTCGAGTGTTCGCACGGGCTTCTCTGAACCGAAGCAAAATGACGACGTCCGACTCCAAGGCATCGCTGAGGACGGTGAAGCGCGTCCAGTTCGGCATTCTTTCGCCAGACGAGATAGTAAGAGAATTTCTATGACGATTCTCTTGCCAAGTGGATTTCTCGCGGGAAGCGCTGCCTCGCTCCATGGCGTAACGTCGCGAAACCGCGCGCCCATCATGTCGGTCTGCCGTGCGGTCGAGCGTACAGCTGTAGCTTCCTCGAGAACCTCTCCCCGCCGAAACGGCAGGGGATCTCGCGGATGTCGCGGTACTCGCGACGGTTTCGAGATCACCGCTGTTCGCGACGTCCACGTTACGGAGATCGCGAATAAAATGGCGTGTAAAATATTGACGTATCGGTGTCGATGTATCGACTTTATTATTTGTCAACTTAATTATTGCGAAGTATTTGGTGTGCGCCAACATTACGACGTTATGGGAAGGGCAGTGTGAATGCAAATAACGTGTGTGAGTTTTTATTTATATTTGAAGTGTAAAGGAAAGTCTTGTACTATCGGATAAGTTTTTAACATGAGATGGCGGGTTTTCAACAACCAAATTCAATCGCAAGTCTTCCGCAACGATTACGCGATCTAACAATGGATTTTCCGTCGAACGCATTTCACTCCATGGGCAATAAATTTACGGTGGAGTCAACAGAAGATGCCCATTTGACAGAAATCCCCGCTATCTCATATTAGGCGCCTATCTCACAGGCGGGGGGGGGGGGGACTTTATATTCTTCAAGTGCTTTAAATTTCTCACGCGAGGCTTCTTTGAAATATTCATTATTCTAGCTGTCTCATTCTAGTCTTACTATTTTTATCATAAACACGTACGCAAAACGGTGTATAAATGTATAAATTATGAAGAAGTAACGGAATGTGTAGCCGAAAATATTAATTTTATTTTTTTCATATACAGAATGTACATAGAGTCAAAATAATGTACTGTAGAACCCGGCCTTTAGTTTCCGACCTAATATTTGCAGAGAAGTGTGCATTCGATTGCAACATTTCCCAGTGTTTGGAGGATTTTTGTTCGGGTTCTAATATGCGCGCTGCTAATTGTATAAAGTTCTGTCATAAATATATTATTCAATAACAATAGTATCTATTATGCAATGAATAACTGTGTATTTCCATCGATACTTCTGCAACGTTCATCGAACTTTTATCAATGGTTATTTTATCTGATTTCACTATCGAGCGCTGTCTCTTCTCAGTTGGCCTGCGCTTTACGTGTATCATATTCATTCAAAATGCAATTTTCCAGTTGCTGTTACAAATCGGCTAGTTTTCCCTCAATAGATTTTCTTTTTTTCCCGGAAAATTCAATTTTCCGGACTTTACAGCACCAACGCAGATTAACTTTGATCTCGGTTTAACTTACTTCTTATCCTTTTCTAGTCTCAGGAATTGAAAAGAGATAAAAACCTTAGTTACACAGGGATTACAATTGATCTGCCTTGGTAGAAATAAGCATTGGGGAAACAGAAAGGGATGAATAGTGAGGGCCTTACGCCCGATTTCATCAAACGTCGTCTTAACTTTCGTCTTAGTTCAATTCATGTTTGTCTCTTTCTAGAGTAGAGCCTAATCTGCAATGTGCTCTCTGCACCGAGAGAACAATCCAGTTTATATAAACAAATCGAAACTTACAAAATTTGTCGGCAATGTACGATTGTAC